ACAAAGTTCAGAACTGGGCAAACCATGATATTTCCTTTGACAACTAATGTCGGACTTTAAAAAAGCAGGATACCCATGGACAGCCAAGAAAACAACCTGATGGATCATTTATTTATTTATTTATTTATTTATTTTACTTTAATTTATACCCCGCCCTTCTCCCGAGGGACTCAGGGAGAAATCAGACCAGAATTCTCACTTGAGCCTCAAAGTAACCTACTTCAGGCACATTATGTAAAATGGTCTAATGCTAGAAAGGTGGAAGGAAAGAGAAGAAGAGGACAACCAGCAGCAAGGTCATTGGACTCTTGTTACAGTGGTAATGAGTGCACCATTGGGGGAGGGGGGAGAACCTGAAAGAACAGGTTGGGAATCTATGGGGCTGCTAGGAGTCAAAAGTGACTTGATGGCATCCAATCAATCATGAAATCTCATCTTGATTGTCAGGGGAAAAAAAGGAAGCTTACCTGCTAATGCTGGCATACCTCCCACGTTGTTTCAGGTGAATTCTTGCCTCTTAACAATAGCAAAATCTGTCTTTCACATCCTCTCCCAAAAGGAATTTTCCTAATTCCTTTTCCTCAAAGGAATTCTATTTGTTTGATTCCTTTTTGCTGGAGAGAATGTGATCACACAGATACATATACAACACACATATAGGTATTCCTTGCTTAATAACCAGTAGTTAAAAGGACTAGAACAGTGGTTCTCAACCTTTTTAATGCCGCGACCCCCAACCGGTCGTAAGTCAAGGACTTTCCCTGCCCGGGAGCGCCGCGCATGCATGGTTCCGCCCCCTGCGCCGGCCGAGGCGTAGCTGGCAAGCAGCAGAGACGGAGCAGGCCGACCACCAGATGGCCCAGCCCAAGGGAGGTAAGGCACCCGCCGGAAAAGGGGAAAAAAGTGGTGGACAGCCTTGCTTGGCGACCCCCGTGAAATGGTCGATCGACCCCAAATGGGGTCGCAACCCATAAGCTGAGAACCGCTGGACTAGAAGATCTCCAAGGTCCCTTCCAGCTCTATTCTATTCTATTCTATTCTATTCTATTCTATTCTATTCTATTCTATTCTATGACCTGTCATTGATGTTGTGACTTACCAATCATGATCATGTGGCTGCAATTTGCAACTTTTTTTTGCTGTTTTGTATCAGATAACAAAAAAAAATGCCCATTGGATATGTTGGATTCAGTTAACAGCAACAACTAACAACCATGTGATTTGCTTAACAACCACAGTGACTCACTTAACAACATTGTAAAAAAGGATTGTAAAATTGAGTCAGGTTACATGCTTAACAACCGCAATGACGTACAACCAAAATCCCAGGCTCAGTTGTGATTCTAATTCAAGGTACTAATTCAAGGATTTCTGTGTTCTACTTTGTATTCAGATTTAATGCTCAATTGTTTGTTGAAGACACTAGAGGTCAGTATAGATAAAGAACAGGAAACATTTGTTTATGCTTTTTTTAATTGAGGAAACAATAAAAGAGGATCCACTGAGCATTATTTTTATTGGAGATATAAGTAAGGAGAGAAAAAGGAATGATCCACCAAATAGTCTTCCTGTTCTGGTGGGATTTTGATGGAGCAAAGGACCTTTCTGGATTTGATTTCTGGTATTGAAAGTGTGCTGTTTGCAGACATTTTTTAACAGAATGTTAAAGAAAAATTCAAAGTTTGAAAACTTCTTTTGGACAAGCACAAAAGGATATTAATGTTGATAATTTACAGCATGTACTGCATACATTACTTAAATCATCCTGATTACAAGTCTGGGTCAGATGCTGGCTTGATCCCTTATAATGTAAGGGAAGTCAAGGCTGTGAAATAATTATTTGCTGAAAGGCATCTATGGAGCCTTTGATAGCAGTGAGAACATGTATTCAGTGCATAATCCATAAAACCCAAAAGTTTCGATTTAAGTGACCACAACAAATAAATATAGGAATCATTCTGACTTACAATCTTTAAAGCATTGTCTAGAAATGTGGATGTAAATATTTGTCTGAAAAGCTATAGTATTTTATTTTTGACAAAGCATACTTATAAATGTGGACTTGACAGAAATTGAATTAATGTCAGAATAATATTGATTCAATTAAATCTTCACATTTTTGCTGTTTTTAAATCACTTTGTTAAAAACTGGAGTCCCCACTTTGGACAACCTTATGCAGAAGCTATCAAAATAATCATCCCTTGAGCATTCAGACTAAAAATAAACATGATGAACCATGAATAGTTCAGAGATAGATGCGGGGGGGGAGGGAATTCCAAGGATGGACTTTTTATGGGTGTACCTTTCTGAGCAGGGACCATAGAAGAAGATGACCAACAGCTAAGTTTGATGTTATAGTGGAAGACCTCCTTATAGAGAAGATCTATCTATATAATTGCTAAGAGTTCACATCAATTTGATGGCACATAAGTCAATCATGGCGTGGATTTGTGAATGTGGTGATTTTACAGATTATGTCCAGAAAAACATCAGGACTAAAACATCAGTTGTATGTTCATGGGGGCAAATAGGTCAGTCAGGAATGTAAATGAAGCTTTATTTATTTAGGTTTTACATCAGTATTTTTTTAAAAAACATCCAAATATATCATCTTGACTGAATATCCATGCCTGGCCATAAAAGCCAAGTATTTCCATAGTGTTTTTTAAATCATGTATTTATTCTTCATGAAACAGCAGAAACAAATTTAATACAGTATATACAAAATAGCTATACAGTATATGAACCATTTTCTTTATTCTTTAAGGAGCAGAAATGTAACCACTTAGATGTTGTTGAGCTTTACTTCCCTTCATCCCTTACTATTGGCTATGTTGCCAAAAACAATTGGGAATTTTGAAATAGCTTTTGGAGGTTTGCAGGTTGTTCAGCTCTGCCCCAAAGTGAGGAATGGGGGCAAAAACATTGCACTGAATGTGTAGGCAGGCCACCCCCCCATATTCACTGAACATCAGTTATGTGTGAGTTTCAATCAACATTAACTCTGGGTGAGGCGTGCCTTGGAATTGTATATGCAGAGAGATTACTCTTCTTTTTGCTAGATAGAAAACTGTTGTCATTTTAAAAGAAGACCAAAATTGGGAACTGAGGCTAAAAGGAACAGACTATCTTGTCAGTAGTCTCAGAATCAACTGAATAGAATATTCATGGATCTAGAGCAGTAGTGGCGAACCTATGGCACGCGTGCCAGAGGCGGCACTCAGAGCCCTCTCTGTGGGCACTTCTCTGAACTGCTGCTGGTGGGCTGTGGAGCCCCAGAATGCGCCGGTCGAGGGGCTGGCAGGCTGTGGCTGCTGATGGACAGTCGGCCTCCATGTGCTCACTGGCCTCTGTGTGCCGGGGGCGATGGTGTCAGGCAGTAGCTGCCCCAGCCCCTGCCTTGCCTTGCCCTGAGATAATGGCACCCCCACCCTGCCTCACCTCACCTCACAGGACAAGTCTCCTACCCACCACTCCACCTACCAGAGACCCCCTGGATCTCCTCCAACCCTGCCCGGCCCCCACAGGCGTCCCTCCCCACAAGCAACATCGAGGTGACCATGCACACCATGGCCACACCCACCCAGTCTGCCATGACCACCACAGCCATGCCCACCCAGTGGGCCACGCCCACCTGGCACCCGGCAATAAATAAGTGGGTTTTGGGTTGCAGTTTGGGCACTCGGTCTCTAAAAGGTTCGCCATCACTGATCTAGAGTCTGAAGTCTAGAAATCCTAGAATCATAAGACTAGAAGGGACCTTGGAGAACTTCTAGTCCAGCCTCATGTCCAAAGCAGGAGTCCTCCCAAATGATTGTCCAATCTTTTCTTGAAAATCTCCAGTCATAGAGCACCCACAACTTTGGGAGGCAAGGTAGTCCATTGATTAATTGTTCTCACTGTCAGGAAATTCCTTATTTCCAGGTTGAATCTCCCTCTGATGAGCTTCCATCCATTGCTTCTTGTCCTGTCCTCAGATGCTATGGAAAATAGTTCAACACCCTTTTCCCTATGACAGCCCTTCAAGTACTGCAATCATGTCTCCCCTTATCTTTCTCTTTATTAGGCTAAACATCCCTAGTTCCCTTAGCCACTTATCCTTTGATTTAGCCTCCAGACTCCTTATCATCTTTGTTGCTTTTCTCTGCACTCTTTCTAGGGCCTTAGCATTTATTTATTTTGTATCATGATGACCAGAACTGGACACAATATTCCAAATATGGCTTCACTAGTGCAGTATAGAGCAGTAGCCCACTTTCCAATGATCTTGATGCTATCCCTCTGGTGACGCAACCTAGAATTGTGTTGGCTTTTTTGGCAGCTGCAGCACACTGCTGGCTCATACTTAAGCAGTGATCCACCTGGATCCCTCTCAGTTATTACTATTTACCAGGTACCTTCAATTTTATATCTATGCTTTTAGTTTTTCCTGCCTAAGTGCAGGACCTTACTTTTCTCATCACTGAATTGCATCTTGTTGCACAGAGCTCAATGCTAGTCTGTCAAGATCCCTGTGAATTTTGAGACTATATTCTAAAGTGTTGGCAAATTTCCCCAGCTTTGTCTACAGATTTGATGAGTTCCTCTTTTGTCCCCTCATCTAGATCATTTATGAAGATGTTGAAGAGCACCAGGTGCAAGAGAGAACCTTGAGGTACCTTACTACATATTTCCCTCAACATAGATATATAGTATCTCCATTCAGGTCTATATCCTGAGTGTGCCTCATCAGCCAACTCTGAATCCATCTGGTGGTGGTACTGTCTATTCCATATTGTTCTATCTTACCAAGAAATAGGCTGTGGTCTACTTTGTCAAATGCCTTATTGAAATCCAAGTATACTATACCCACAGCAAGGATCCAGTTCCCTGATCAACTAATTTAATCACTTTAATCAAAGAAGGCAATAAGGTTTGTCTGGCATGATCTGTTTATAACAATCCCATGCTGGCTTCCAATAATTTCCTTGTCCATTTCTAGATGCTCATGAATCCATACCTTGATGACCTTTTCCAGGATTTTTCCAAGTATTGATGTCAAACTGTCTGTAATGTCCTGGATCCACTTTATCTTTTCTGAAGATTGGAACCACATCAGTTTTTCTCCAGTCCTCTGAAAGTTCCCGTGCTCCAGGAGCTCTGAAATATTTCATTCAGTGTTTCCAAGATCTGCCAGCTCCTTCAGTACCATGGGATGTAAAGCATCTGCTCCCGGAGAGTTAAACTCATCCAAAGCAGATAGATATTGTCTTAACAATTCCTGTATTCCTGTTCTGTCTCCCAGAATGCTGCTTTTGATAACTTGGGCTACTTTTTTCCTTTTGTGTAGACAGATGCAAGGAATAAATTAAGCAGTTCAGTTTTCTCCCTGCTTCCCCTCACCTTTGTGCCATCTTCTCCCATTAGTGGACCGACCATTTCCTTGACTTTCTTCTTGCTCCTTAGCATTAAAATAAACTTTTTTATTATTTTGGGTATTCGTTGTAAGTCTTACTTCATTCTGAGCCTTAGCCTTCCCAACTCCATCTTGGCAGATGAGGCTAGTTGCTGGTATTCTGTTCTAGTTATATGCCTCTCTTTCCATTTTTTATACTTGTCTGAATTGTCCCTGGTTGTCAGAGAGCTCTTTGTGCAACCATGCTGATCTTGTCTAGAGTCTCCTGTTTTTCTTTCTCTGTGATGTTGTTTTTGTTTGGGCTTTTACGAACAAATTTTTTATAGTATCCCAAGCATCCTGTATTTTTCCTCTTAAGATTTCCATCTATGGAATCCTTCCTATTCTTAGCTGAAGACAGGCCTATTAAAGTCTAAAATACCAGTCCATCTTTGTTCAGTTACCTGTGCCTGCATTATGGTGAATTCTAGCATGCTATGGTCACTTTCCTCCAACGTTCCTGTAACTTCCACTCCATCAACCTTTCATCTCTATTAGTAAGAATTATATCCAGTATAGCTGAGCCTCTAGTCCAAAATCAATGAATACAGAATCACAGAATTTAAGGAGTCTTAGTGGATATGCAATCCAATGCACTGTTCAGTGCAGGATCCATTGGAGTGTCTCCATGGATGACCATTTATCCTATAGTTGAAGATTTCCAATGAAGAAGTCACTATTTCATGTGGAAACCTATTCTATTGGCTGACAGCTTATATGATCAGGTTATTCCTCCCAATATCTATTCTGAACCTGCTTTCTTACAGTTGCAACACACTGATGGTGATCCTACCCTCTGGAGTGATAGAATCATCCCGTTTTTGCTGTAACAACCCTTTGATATTTAAAGAGTTGCATATCTCTCCCAAGTCATATATGTGCAGGCTAAATGTATCCCGTTCCTTCAACTGCTCAACATAAAACTTGGTTTCCAGATCCTTTGCTAACTTGCTAACCATCCTCTGAAGTTGTTCCAATTGTCACTGTCCTTTTATTTAATTAATTTAGTGCCACCCAACTCCATTTCTTTGCTGGACAGCCCACAATGTAGAAAAACAAATAAGATAAAAATATAAATAAAAATATAATACGGGAAATAAACAAAATGGCAAATCAAACATCAAAACATACTAAGATATGACAAACACAGGTCACAAGAGATTCCATCCACCTTCCCCAAGGCCTGGGAGAATAGCCAGATCTTTAAGGGCTTCTGGAAATGCCTTCACGGTTAGGAGCATTTTTTGAACAATGATGCTTAAACAGGGCACAGTAGTTGAAATGGGCTTTGACTAGGACAGAAAAGAGTAGAATAATTTTTCCCATGATTTGTACCTTGGGCTTTTGTTAAACGCACCCTAATATAACATTTAGAGTTGTGATGGCACGGTGGTTAGAATGCAGTATTGCAGGCTAATTCTGACCAGCTCAAGGTTGACTCAGCCTTCCATCCTTCTGAGGTCGGTAAAATGAGGACCCAGATTGTTGGGGTCCTCTGTATGCTGACTGTAAACCACCTAGAGAGGGCTGTAAAGCACTATGAAGTAGTATATAAGTCTAAGTGCTATTGCTATTTATCATTTTAACATCTGGAACGGACTGCTGGCCCATGTATACCATGATCAAAAAGGATTCTTTATGTATTACTTCAAGAGAAAAAATATTTCAGGGAATGCTGTTCACCCCATTCTATGGGGAAACAACATGCAAGACATTCTAAAACTAATTAATATACACCTGTCTTTAAGCTATTTACTACAAACCAAGCTCAGCAGGTTCAACTAGCTGCAAGAAAGAAACAAGCAGTACATTTCTTATTAGATTTGACATCTATTTTCTCATTCATATTTTAGATGACATAAATGATTCACAATTCTTCCATTTTTGTAGTTTTATTTCTTTATCGGGTATTGGTATAATACGCCTTCAACCCAAGAATACGGATGTTTCTGATATATTACAGTAAACATACATTTTCTCTTAACAACAAAATCCTCTGGAAGTTCTCTATTTTAAGATAACAATAATTGCATGCTTTTTGTTTACAGCAAACTGATAGTATTATTTTTAAAAAAGGAACCATGCATGGTGTAAGAAAGTACTGATCACTGCCTTTGTTCATGTACAAATTAAAATTCTTTTAAAATCAGTCTGTCTTTATGTGTGTCAAATGCATTAAATATGTTGGATGGGCAGTGCTTTGAATTTGAAAGGAAAACAGGGCTGCACTCAGATATCAATCATCTTTTGACAAATCGTTTAACCAAAGCCTCTTTCCCAGGGCTAAACTGGGATTATGCTAATCTGGAACAAAGATTGGTGTATGACCAAAGAAAAGACACCACACTTTCATGAAGTTGCCAAGGGCTGCATGAGCACTCCTGCACATTCCAAAGCATCATTTTCCTTTTGTATCCAAAGTGCTACACAGCCACATTAAATATATGCTTTCCTTTCTGAATGTTCTGAAATGACCAGAGAAATGGCAAGTATGGATTAGCAAGTTTCCACTCTAATCTCATGGCTGAATATGCAAAAATACAGACTGTCCAAATCAGTTGAATTAAACTTCAGTTGAGCTTAAAATTTAAACCTGAATGTGTCAATGAGAAACTGTATAAAAAGCATGCAAAACTCCTAGAAAACATTTAAATAAAGCCAAATGTGCAGTGTAGTCCATAAAAATATACACTGTATATTAAAAGCACTTCAAATAGCAAGTACCTTTTGCCAGGTGCCCCAATGTTAATTCTTTGGCAACTTAAAAAGGGAACTGTTTATAGAATAATAACATTATTTTATAACTGCATAAAACAAATGGAAATCTCAATAAAAAGTATGTTATTAATAACATAAACTTCTGAATTACACAAATGCTGTGCATAACAAAATTATATAGAAAAATATAATTTTATTAAGGTAATTTGAATATTTACTCTTATACCTGTACTTGGAAGTTAGGTAAATCCTTTAGCAAATAATCAGATTTTCTCCTACTTTAAACCTATCTAAAACAACCTCTTATTATTCAAAGTCAGTAAAAAAAGAGGCCTCTGGATTTGAGGATTTCACTACTGCTTGCAATATTAAGTTACTACAGGTTGCCGACAAATTGGACAAGTGGAATTTTCAGAAAGCCAACGATCAATACAATGAAAATGGAATTCATGCATGCATGGCAATTGCCTTAGCTTGTTTCCTACAACATATTCATTAATGCACACGCTACACGTCTTACTTATTTCATCATCTTCTGAATGGGGATTCTCATAATTCCGGGTAGAAAGATTATCGATCTGGTCTTTGGTCAATCCTCTCAGGTTGTCACTAGAATCTTCTTCTAATAAAAGATAAGGTACAAGGCGAAGGATGGGAAGTGTTCCATTTTCAACAAATGATGCTCTGCTATTTGGGGTATTATTATTTTGATGGTGTTGGATAGAATTTGTTTCTCCCTGCCCTTCCGTGCTATCTTGATCAGTTGTAATAAATTCACTATTTAAAGTGCGGAAGCTAGGCATTGAGGGCGGTATATCTGACAAGTGCTGACTATTGCTCTCAGTTTCAGAACTTGTTTCTGTATCCATTAAGGAGCTTAGCTCTCCAAATCCAGTCATAATTTGTCTTAAAATTGATCTGACAGCCACTGATGAAGACTCACCAAGCCCAGTATCTGACGCCCTATGAAGAGGTATCCGTATAGTGTTAACATATGTCCGTATTCCTGCATATTCAGATCGTGAAACATTCTGAATAAATCCTTCATTATCACTTTCAAGAGTCACCAAGTTGTCTGCCATGCCTACTCTTGAACGAGTTCTAGAAGCAATACTGTCGCGATCTCTATTTTCTCTGGGACGAATTCTCCTTACCTGAAGATCTAATGTAATACTAGGATGCCTTCTAGATGCAGATGCAGCTCTTACAGATTCTTCCTCTTCCAAAGGTATACCCAGTGACGATGCTTGTTCTTCAGTTTGTTCCGGAGAAGGCTGGGTTGTATGTGCCCTATTAGTTCCTGCATGTATTTGTTGCATATTGACTGGCTGCCCGTTTTCCAAAAGAGATTGGAACTGGCCTCTAAAAGTTGATCTTAATCTTAAAACGTCTGTCCTTTGCCTTGAATTTCTTCGAGTTCTAGCTCTCCCTCTGTAGTATCTTACTGGAGTCACTCTCTGTGTTCTCCTTTGCCTAATGATGTTGTGTTCATTGTCATCTAAAAGGCTGTTAGGGGTTGAACTTGCTGAACTTCTGTTTCTAGCGCCAAGTCTACCAGAGAAGAATCGAGAATTTTCTTCAGCATTCTGAGTCAGCAAACCACCAACGTTTCCAATTCCTGATGAGACAAATCCATGGCCAACAGAATTAGCTAATGTCCTGCTCCTAGTTCGGCTGGCTACTGGACTATTTGCAATTACAGGTCTATTTTCCATATGCATTCTACTGGAATGGCCATATAAGAACTCATTCAGTTGTTCCCCAGGAGTATTATCATTGTTCTGTTCATGGTTTATATTTATTTCAAGACTAAACCGGAATTCTCCACTACTTGGGTTTGCCTGGCTTACAGCTCTCCAAGTCTGGTTTCCACTCTGACCACTATGTGTGGAATTTTCTGTATGATGAAATGTGTTCAGCCACTCAAGCAAGGAGTTGCTGGTTATGTTTTCCCCAAGCGTCTCTGAATCTGTGAATAATTTAAAAAATACATTTTTAGGA